ATTCTTGTATACAACAGGCAACTTTTTTTTTATGATATTCTTGTATACAGCAGGTCTTGGGATGAGCATTTACGGCATCTAAAAGTGGTCCTCCAACTTCTATCCACTCATCAGTTGTTTGTCAAAGCATCCAAGTGCCAATTTGGGGTTTTAATGGTCGACTACTTAGGCCATCGAATTTCATGGCAGGGTGTTGCTATGGATCCAAATAAAATCAATTCAGTCCAACAATGGCCTGTGCCGACCTCAGCAAAGGGGGTTCGTGGATTCCTTGGTTTCGCGGGTTACTATCGGAAATTCGTCCGTGATTTTGGTTCAATTGCTGCATCTCTAACACAACTCTTAACCAAGGATGGTTTTTGGTGGACAACTGAATCTCAGGAAGCCTTTGTGAAATTGAAGACAGCCCTTGTTACTCCTCCAGTTTTACGTCTTCCAGATTTTCAACAGCCCTTTGTTGTCGAATGCGATGCAAGCGGAACAGGTCTGGGAGCTATACTGTCACAAAATGACCAACCCATTGCGTTCTTTAGCGAAGCCTTGAAAGGGTCGGCAAGGGCACTGTCAACTTACGATAAGGAAATGTTGGCGGTGGTGAAAGCTGTGCGCAAGTGGTGACCGTATTTGTTGGGCAAGCCGTTTGTAATCAAAACTGACCACCAAAGTTTGAAATACTTACTTGAGCAACGTATTTTGACTCCTTCCCAAGCTAGATGGCTGCCCAAACTTATGGGCCATGACTACACCATACTATACAAACGTGGCAGAGATAATCAAGGTCCAGATGCTCTATCTCGAGTTAACTTGCTTCAGTTTCAGGCCCTTACGCTACCCTCTGCAGACTGGTGGCCCTCCCTGCAACAAGAGGTAATTGACAATCCCTATTATGCCACCTGGAGCAAGAATGCTTCATCTAATTGTTTTGGTAGAGATGGAGTTTGGATGGAAAACGGTAAAGTCCACTTGAGCCCAAACTCCTCTTTACTCCCTGCAGTATTAGCAGACGCACACTCATCGCTGGTAGGAAGACATTTTGGCTATCTTAAAACCATCAACCGAGTCAGCTCAAGTTTTATATGGTCGGGGTTACGCACCGCTGTGAAGGAATTCATCCGAAACTGCATGGTCTGTCAACGTTGCAAGTATGACACTCTTAGACAAAGCTGTCTATGGCGTTCCCCCGCCTTTTATGATTTTGTATATTCCAGGTACTACCAAGGTCTAGGCTGTTGACGATATGCTGCGCTCAAGGGATGAAATTCTTCGTGATCTTCGAAAAAATTTGGTTGCTACCCAGGTTCGAATGAAGTGCCAGGCTGATCGTCACCGACAAGAGGTTTTCTTTGAGGTAGGAGACTATGTTTATTTACGTCTACAGTTGTATCGTCAAAAATCTGTAGCGTTTCGGAGTTCGTTGAAGTTGTCTCCTCGATTCTTTGGTCCCTTCAAAATTCTTGCAAGAGTAGGGACAGTTGCATATAAGCTGGACTTGCCAATTGGGGCACAAATTCACAACGTGTTCCATGTCAGTTTACTAAGGAAACATGTTGGTCCGCTCGACTTACCTATAGTGTCATTACCTCCTGTTTCTGCTGATGTCCAAATTTTACCAGAACCTAAAGTCATTTTGGATCGAAGGGTGGTTCAGAAGGGCAAGTATAGACTGAAAACTGAAGTATTGGTTCAATGGAAGGGCGCTTCCCGTGAAGATGTGACATGGGAGAATTTATGGGGATTCTCCAAGACCTATCCAGATTTTCGCCTTGAGGACAAGGACGCTCCAAGGGTGGGGGAATGATATGAATCAGATCTGGTGGCCTTGAGGTACACGTGGGGTTGGACCAAGTCAGAAGGATTATTGCAGTATTTGTTAGGTAATGGGTTTATTGCACTGGAATTGGTCAAATAAATAAAGGTTGTTAGTATGGGGCTCCATATCTTTAGCAGCCACTCTATTAGGATTTCCTGTTTTATTGCTATTTTCTTGCCTTGTCAGTTGTAATGCTTGCTGGCCTATTTAGACAGCAAAGAAAAGGGAATAAAGTATCAAATTAAGAAATTAAACACTCTTCAACCTCTGTTATTCTTCTTCTTCTTTCCTACCCAAAATTAATCCTGTCATTGGTATCAGAGTTTGGTTCGGTTCATGGATACACGTTCGAAATCAAATGTGGAATTCCGAACGGAAGTCACCGACATCTTAACTCATCACGAGTCCAGCTTTGATGAGATGAAACAAGATGTCAATGAGATGAAACACGACTTGAATGAAATAAAACAAAATTTTTCAAAACCATTCCTCGAATCTCCCCATTGTTCCACAAATTTATGACTTCTTCAAGAAATTTTTTAAGCATTTTATCTTTTCCTCAACAATGGAAACTAGTTCTCTTGATGAACCCCAGAAGAAACTGTTTTGTAAGATGAAAAGTAAATATGGATATCTCTGAAAAAATCTCTTAAAAGGGATAGTGAAAAGATTGTTATGAGAAAAGAATTCTGCACTAGATTTTGGGCAAGGCGTCATAAAATACGAGTTGCTGCATATTGTTGTTACAGCAAGCAAAGAGAAGGTATGGGTTGCAATGCCATAAAATAGATAGATGCAACTTCCAAGATGTATTGCCTATAATTCTAAAGCTCCGGCAATCAGCTTTCGCAAATCAACACATGTGAGTAACAATCTTAAAATTTGGCTGCTTTGATACAGAGCAAGCAAGAGATGCTAAATATTAAAAAGATATTCAGCTTGCAAGGAACAAAAGATTTAAATTAGTTTTATTTTTATTCTCTCGGTGGACAGAGTTTGGTTTCCTTTTCTTGAACACTTAAAGGGGCATTGGGGTTGGGCACAAAACAAAGAAGAGATGCTAAATAATAAAGAACCAAGATTGCAAGGATTAAGAAACTTTAAATTAATTGCATTTTCTTTCCTTCATAGACAGAGTTCGCATTCTGTCTTAGAGAAGGAACACTGAACATCAATGCAGTGATGAGTCGTATCTTCTGACTTCATTTCTTGGAATATGATGTTCGAGCACTGAACTCCCGAAAGGTTTGAATCTGTAGCTCACATTTACCCTTGGATTGGTGTGTTATCAATACTGCAACCTCAAAACAGAGAAAATGTACCAGAAAATGATTTGTGAGACTACTCTTGAACTTCAATGCGACTACTAGCAGTTCAAACCAGAAAACTACTGCAGGATATGAAGCTCCTGATGCATGAACAATGGAATCTGGTTCAATCATCAAAACTATTCCCAGAAATGATTCAACTCAATAGGCACATCGAAAATTTTGTAAAAACCCACCCGGTGAGGTGTAAGACTCCATCAATACTGGCTTTTATTACTCGGGATCCTTTGCCTGTACCATGTTAGAAGGCAACTCAAGAAAAGATTAAAATTCTGCATTAAAAAGATTTCAAGTAGAGCTTCATAGATTTCAGGAAGAGCTTCATGCCTGTTATAGCAGCAATGCAAGGACAATGGTACCAAATCAACAATTAAAATGAGAGTGATGAGCATTGTAAGGTGGCTTGATAGACACATCAAATGTCATGGAAACTTAATTGCTTGAATACGATGAAGTACGCTTTGAAATTGAAACAAGAATCATAGTTATATATTCATCTACTATATATCTATCCAGATGTATAGCAGATCAGAAACAAGGCAGCTTACCTTGTCCAGTTGAATAAACGGATTGACATGTGAAGCATCAGAGGAGGCTGGCTTTTCTTATGTTAACGGATTGTCATATGAAGCTCTGCTTCTTGGCACCTCTCTCTCTAGAGCATCCCATCTAATTTTTCCAGGAAAAACCTGTGTGTGAGAGGAGAGCTGCTTGAGATGCAGCTATTCTAAAGAAAGGTTAAAAAAAAAAAAAAAAAAAAAGTGTTTGAAAACAGTGAGCGAGTTTGTGCGTAGCATTACTGCTCATGGCAGCCGGAAATTAGAAATTAATTTTGTAAATATTTTAATATACTATTATAAAAAATAAAATTAAAAAATTATTTTAATATATTAAAAAATATTTTAAAAAACTATAAAAAAATAGAATTCATTATTTTTAGAAACTATATATTATTGTTCTAATTATTTTTAAAACTCGTAACAAATTAGATTTTAATACAAAAGAAAAGGTTCTATATGTACATAAAAAATAAAAATAGATATTAAATTTTTATTTTAATCATAAAGTTAATAAAATTTGCAAAATATTTTAATAAATACAACCAATCTGAATGTACGAATTTAAATTTAAATAATTGTATAGAACTATATAAGTTTTTAGTTGATATTAATTTTGATCGATAGCTCATGATGGTTTGAAAAAACATGAAAAACAAGCAACGCCCCTCAAGATTATTTTTAAGGATAAAAAAAAACCTTCACTCTAAAAGAAAAATCCCTTCTCTTCCCCTCATCTTTCGTGCTCAATCACCCAGACAAAAAAGCACAGCCACCACAATTCTGAAGCCTCGGGTTAAAACCCACCAAAAATAGTGGCAATAAGAGGTGCAGATGGAGGAAGACAGTGAACAACCACTGCCGATACCCACATCAGATCTCACCGTCATGAAGTCTACCTCCCTCAGTGATCGATTAAATGCGATTTGGTTTCATCAAATTTGGGTTTCTTTTGATTTATGGGAGGTTCTTGAGATGGGTTTGTGGTGGATAAGTGGATTTGAAGGAATCTGGGGAGGGAGGGAGAGTATTTAAAGATTGTCTTAGGATTTCAAGCTCGAAGATTGCTTGAAGATTTAAGTCAAAGACCTGAATCTTAGGCTTTTCTTACTTTATTAAAAACACTTTAGAAAAAATATGGTGTGGCCCACGATGGGCGGACCATCACTCTAGTGTTACTAAAATTAGAATCACGAGATTAAATTTATAAAAAAAATCAATACAAAATGAGCCTTTAAACCCAAAGGCAGCGAGATACTCAGCTCACCACATTCCTTCTCGAGAAATTCATAGTACTCTTATTTTTATTCTTCAATTGATAAACACAAATGTTTTGCTCATGTTCTTTCTGACTATGGATATAACATAGTACTCTTACTTGAAGACTAAACTCATCTTATTATTAATTTGATAAAGATTGAATAATCCCTTGATCATCAGTTTGTGCATGCTGGTGAACCTCCTTAAAGAGCATGAATCCTATGCTATGGAGTTGATGCAACTAAAAAAGACCTCAACTGCTCAAGCTCTCGGTCTTTACGCTCAAGCTCTTCGTCTTTATATGCTACCATCCTTTTCACTTCTTTCACCTCCTTCAAAATAGTTGTAATTTTGAAACTCGGCATCATAGTTTTGAAATCCGCCCCGGCCCGGCGAGTCGACCCGGAGCTAAAACTGGGCTGGGTTAATGAAAAAATAAGATAAATCATGACTTAGCTGACCCGGCGTGCTGATCTGGAAACTCGAACGACCCGACAAAACCCTGTCAAAAACACGATTGCAACCCGTTGACTTTTGTTTTTTCTTTACTAAAACAATGTCGTTTTGAATTTTTTTAAAATAAAAATTGACCCGGCCGACCTGGTCAAAACCTGGAACCCGGGTTTTAGACCGGGCTGGCCACCGGGCCGGGTTTAAAAAATATGCTCAACATGAATAATTGGCAGATCATTGATTAATCTAAGCACGCAACTTTTTCTTATTCAAAAAATAGAAATTAGGAGTCCTATGAATTTCAAGTTAATATTCTCATTCCAATAGATAGAGGTAATTTGACTAATTTCCTATTGTTAATCAATCAACGTTTGCTAGCAAATTAAGTACGCAAATTAAGTGCAACTTTGTGTGGTGTAAAAATTCTGCAACGCAACCTATGCAGAAATTATTCATATACTATATTTTCCTCCTATGCAATCAAAGAAAATTGACATCATACCTCATTGGAACTTGACAGTGACATGTCTGCATTACCTCTCAGATATCTATTAATGGCCCCACGATATTCTTCTTCCTCCTTTATATTTTTTGTTGAAAATTGCGATGAAACATCATCCAGATTGTTGTCAAGAATTAAAGTAGTTATCAGTTAACATAATCAAATATCTAATATTAATAATTTACTCCATAGTTTTCTTAGACACAAAGATCAATATATGGTAATCGATGGAGCTAATGTACTTGAGAAAGATTTTTGGTAGATTTACCCATGGCAATAACAGATCATGACCACGTATGTAATCATTTAATGAATTGTAGTCTTTGAATGAATTGTATTCATACTGTTCGCTCAAACCAAGATGTAGCATGAGAAAGCAGACATGGGTCAGCAACTCTCCACCTCTTCTCAGTTGTTGAGCGTGTTCTTTCCATGGACAATGAGCTGGTGCATAAGCAAGCATTTCCATCCAAACTTCTTCGATTATCTCCCATCGCTTCTTAAATCCCAGCAAACGCAATTGCTTGGCGAGCCTATCCCCACCAGCTACCGCTGACTTGGTTTCTTTCCAGCGAAATTGAAACCGTATATCATCAATAACAAATGATTCATAGTAGAACAGAATTGCATCTACAACTTCTTCCCTGCTTGTCGCCGGGCTTTTAGTGGGAGCTTCCTCCTTACTTATGATGCTATCCAAGTCTCGCAAGGAATGTAGATATCCCTCATCACCGATTCCTTGGGATAGCGTATCTGGTCTTATTACCAAAAGATACATCATGTATTCAGATAGAAATCTGCTTGTTTTATATTCTGAGGAGACATTGTTTGCATCTTTATCAACACAGTAACAAATCTCTGTTGCGAGATGCCAGACAAGAATGCTTCGAATGAATTCCATTTCAGTTGTGCTCCACTTCAAGTCCTGTAACAGTCCCTCTCTTTCCAGCGCACCATCTCCTCTCTGACTAATTATTTTTCTTCTGAAATTCTTATCAATGAAATTGAAATCTTCCTTAATCTTCAGAGAGTTCTTTTGGAGGTGTCCGAAAATAAAATCCTGTAGTCCACCATTAATATCTTTCCGATTCACATTCATCTGCTTCATCAGTTCATCGATTCCCAGAAATTCCAAGCATTTAGGTGGCTTGCTTTCAATGGAAGAGCTTATCAGGTTATACTGTGCTATGGATCTCGACCACTTCTCGCTTCTAGTTCCTTATCAGAGAATAAAGAGCACTAGTCAGGGCGTTCCCTCCTTCATTAGTCAACCAGATCATTGTCCAGTCAGAGAAAACAAGGCATAAAAAAACATAAAACTCGAGAAAAATAGCGGTCACAAACATTAAATACGTAATTGTAAAGTCGATCGTTGAGTAGGCATGCTTCTCAATCTTGACTTGGAAGGTAATAAACGCAGTGAAAGTGAGCAGAAAGCTGATAGAGCGAAGAATGATTCCGG